TGTCTGCAAGAGGAGTGATAGTGAGGCCCAGGTGTGATGTKTGTACCTGTGTTCTGAGAGGAGACATTCCTCCTGTACCTGCACTGACTTCCCTCGTGAGTGGTAAATAGTGATAGCAAGCACCCAGCAGTGAAGGCTTTGGTTATGTATGGCTGTGTGATGACACTGGGGATGGTTCCAGCTTCTCCTCTGCTCTGCTCTGATTTCTTACTGGGTTTTGCAAAATTCACATAGATTCGTGTTTTTAGATTGTGGTCTCAGTAGGAACTGATATGCRTTTTTCCCTTTTTTGCTGCTGGATCTGACCATAATTTGTTGGTCAGTTTTTGAAACTCCAGGGAACTGGTTATGTTTGGTTCCTCAGTTGTCATTCTCTATCACTCCAAATACAGTGTTAGARCATTTTCTTTTTCCTGCAGTTAAAAGGAGGGGGGAAAAAAGACAATTGTGGCAAATACAGARGGCTTGGTTGATACTGGTTTGATTTTTTTATACTACAAAAATATTAGTTCTAAACTTAGACTCAGATATATAGTTAAGTTATAAAAAAACAATTCATAAATCAAAATCCTATGTGAGTCAAACAAGAACTGTTCTCAAGCCATCCCTCATGGCATTAATTCCTGSCTTAACTACTCCTTAAAAACAGCTTTCTTCCTGCAAAGAGTTCTGCTTCAAACTTGGCAGTTTTTCCAAGAACCATCAATACCAGTGCTGGTCATTSTTGGCTACCTCCTTATCCCAAAACCCAAGTGCCTTGGTTTGCTTTCACATTTCAGAGCACAGAAAAAGTTTTGYGGTCGATTTGAGGGTAGTCTGGGGCAAGGATGTTAACTTTTCCAGCCATGTCACCCATTGTGCAGCAGAGTACTTGCAATTCCCATCCTGTGCCTTTGGTGGCTGTTGGGTGTGGTGGTGGCTAAGGATGCACCGAACCTTCCCGCATGCCGAGCCTTGGGCAGGATGGCACAGGTGCTGCAGCCTGTGCCAACCACCAGAGCCAGGGCTGGCTTGGGCTGGCAGCAGGATTCACCCTGTGCACCTTCTCTGAGGTTGAATGTGCTGTCTSCCTGCCAAGGTCTGAAGGGTAGCACTTTCTGCACCGTGCTGGTGTTGGCACACTGGCCAGGTTGTGCGGGGAGATGCCCGGCACGGGGTGAGCCAGAGGTGTCACACAGCTCGCCTGGCACTGCAWCCGTGGCTTTCCCTGTGGCATTTCTGTGTTTGCTTGGAATTTGTCTTGCTGCCATTCCTGTCCTTTGCCCAGTTGTTTCTTATTCGTTCTCTTTCCTGGGGTTGTGGGATCAGGGGGGATGACCCAGCAGACCCTCTGGCTCTGCAGTACTTGGCTGTTCTGCAGCCTCCCTGAGCAGCCCAGGCCTGTTGCTGCCATGCTCCTGCCCTCCTGAAGATCACAGCCATGTGCTGGTGTCTGCCTGCAGCTGGCGGTGAAACATTATGGCCACTTTCCCAGAAGGGTTTCTGCCACCTCCCTGTGCAGTCATTGGTGCTGCTCTCAGATTTCGGTACCCCAAAAAGGTTATGGTGCTGCAGGAGGGGCTGTACCAGTGCTAAGATTATTTCCAGTGTCGTACAGGATGCTTTTCATTTTCACCTATTTTCAGCATCCATTTGTTTGTTCAGCATTTTTGAACCCTTCAGAAAGAAATTCTTCCATCCCTGCCATGATCACAAATGTTTTCTTGTTTCGTTTTGTTTTGTTTTCTCATATTCATGGTGAGAATAGTATTCCCAGCAAGTCACCTTTTATTTTCTCCCATCCAATGTAACTTTTCTCCTGTAGCAGTTTYAATGGTCATTCTGCATTCCAGCCTGTGTGCTCGCAAGTGCTTGGGCTGTCTTCCCATGTGTCAGACAAACACTTTGAACAAGGAGACCTAATACCTTGCTGTCAATACGAATTTCAATATTTCGAGGATTTAAATTTGCAGTAGTGTCAGTCTGGCGCAGTTTCTGTATATTGCATATATATTCCTTTGTGATGCGTCCTTAGTTGATTGAAGGCAAAGTGACAGGTGTAATGAAAAAGAGTGAGAACTCAAGTTGTGCTGAAGGATCTCGTTTTCTTTGAGCTCAGGTGAAGGTGGGACCTGTGTTAAACTGCCCTGGCACAAGTCAGGGAGAGCTGTTTGTGGTGGTGTGTTTCAGTACTCTGTGCAAATGAAAACAATTATAATTAGCAGGATTTACCTGCTTTCTTATCACTGGCAGTACAAAGCCCTCTTGCCATTTACAGCAGATGGGCTGTTTTGCTTTTTCTCCCAGCACTCATTAGCAAGATAGGGTAGAAGGGGCCTGGGATGCGGAGATAAGGGAGAGCCAGCGAACATGCTGGTCCTGGAGGCTGTGCTGGAGGACACGAGGCTGGTTCTGTGGCAGGGGAGCGGTACAGAATGTCCTGCTGCCACGGGCAAGGCTGGTGCTCCTGAAGAGCAGTCTCCCCGTGCACTCTCTGCAGAGCTGTGCGAGGAGCTAGCGCTGTCCGGCTGCACCCGCAAGGCTGGGAGGGCACTGTGCCCCTGACAGCTCTCTTTGGGGTATGTGGCAAACGAAATTCTCCCCACGGGGATTTCAGCTGTGTTTCAGCAGGCTCTGCACCTGTCCTCAACCTTCAGGGCCTTTGCTATATGCAGACCAAGCTTCATAKCTCTGCAAGACGCTTTGAAACCCGAAGCGTTTTCCAGAAGCATTCCCTGTGCGCGCTGACATCCGACGTCTGTCCTGCCTTTCGCCTCTCGGTGCTGACATCTCCGTCCTTCTGGCGTGGGGCAGCAAGGTCAGTCCTGCGGGGCTGTGCTCTGTTCCCAGACGGGCCCCTGCTCGCAGACTGGCCGGCGTTCCTGGGAAGGGTCTGTGCCTGCCTCTGGGAATAGCTGTCCTCGTGTTTGTCTCCCTATGCCAAGGCAGAGATTGCCATGTGTGTGGCAGGTGTGGGTATTTTAAGCCATTACAGGGAATTTAGCAGCCTGGGGTGGGTTATTCTTTGCCTTCCTGCCTGCTCCAAGCTCCAGCTCCTTCCACAGCAGAACGGGCAGTGCTGTCTGTGGTGTATGAAATCCACACTAGTCATGGTTCATGCGCTGCAGTCTAACATCACAGTGGAGCAGCACGTCTCCAGATCCGAGTCCAGGCTGCTTTTATAGGATCTCCTGCACCAGTTATTGTGGGTAACTGCAGTAAAGGCTCTGCCCTTCTCTCTGCCTGCAGGAAGGGGAGGCTTGCAGAGGCTGAGCTGGACGCAGCTCGTGGGCTGGCTGGTGTGTGGCTGCTGCCCGCCAGCCTCACAGCCCAGGGAGCCCTGCACTGACTGCTCCAGGGCGCTGATGAAGCACGGGAATGTGGGGTTCCTTCTGCCTCACTCTGCCWGGCCCACTGAGCCCCACCACCCCTGCCTCCCCTTCTCCCTCTTGGCTGCCCTTTGCTCCGGTGCCCACAGGTTAATGGCTGCAACCTGGAGCAATCMAAAAAGCTGATTTTCACCCTCTCAGCTCCCAGCTGAGGGAGCTTCAGGGGCCGTTCCTCCCATCAAAAAAGCCCCATCTCCCGCTGCTTCACCTCCTAAGTGGTGAGTGGCAGGAATGCGAGTGATGCAGGAATTGCCATGGCGCTAGTGGGGAACCAAATGTCTGGCCAGATGACAGCTCTAAATTTAAGGGCTTGCTGTTGAGCAAGCATGTGTGCATTGCTGTGCCCTTTTGTGACCAAGCTAAAGATAATTTTCCTATCTGGAACAGCAGCTGTGTTGTAACTTGTATAAAGAAACTTCTCCACTAAAGAAGAATGATCATAAGAGCATAATCTGAGAGGACAAGCAAAGTTGGAGAGATTTGACTCAGGGTAGGGCTCTGATGCTCCACAGGAGCTGAAAAGAGACCATTTATAGAAACTCAAAACATGTTTGGCTCTTCAAAAAACGTACAGGTCTTGCTGTTATTTTAACGCAAATTTCACTCAGAAGAAAAGCAAAACTTCAAGGAAAGTCACTTTAAATTATCTAGGGTTCAGTATTTCTGCAAAAACTGAGCCAAAAAACTGCAAATATACAGACAGTGCTGTGGAACAGGAGACTGTCAGAGAAAGAGCAGAGTTGGATACGCTGCTCCATATTATACTGAGTGTACTTTTAACTCACCAGCATCTTTTAAACACACTGRCCATTGTCTTTGGAGTCTTTTTGCCTGCAGATGTCTGGTTACCTGCATGTGATTGTGYTGAGCATGCTATATGAAGAGACGTGGGCCAAACCTCGGGGTCAGCAGGGATTATCCAGATAGGCCATTCACTTCTCTTCTTGAAGGATTGGTTTAGAATGTGCAGCAGCACACAGGTCAGCTGCTTAGCTGGCAGTGGTGGAAACATGTGTTGTCTCAGGGAAGGTGGGTCACTAAATAGCACACTTAACCAGCAGCCTCCTGAACCTGAGGGGATAAGACTTCCTGATCTCCTTGTGGCTTTAAAACTTTAAAACACAGGAAGAAATGTCATGCACCGTAGCCTCATGGAGGTTGTCAGGGCTCAGAGGTACTCAGTGGTGCTACAAATCTGTTTTCTCATCCGGCGACAATGTTACCTGGAGTGCCATGTGCAGGGCAGTGCTACTGGGGTCTTGTAAGGACATGAGAGCTGCATACTTTATAACTTCTGATTTATTGTCCTTCAAAGAAATAAATGCTTAGGAGGACACTTCATGAACATCTAGCTTTGATTACAGAAAGACATCTCTAGCCAGGGTCCCATACAAAGAACTTCCTCAGTCCCACCCCATAAATCCGTGACAGGACAATGCGTTACCGGAGTTGGTCCATGKGCCATGTAGGATATGGATGGGGGCTCCTGAGCAATCTTTTGAAATCAGCTGTGYTGTAAGCATAAATCTGCAGCTCTGGGGTGTTCAGTGTTCCCAGCCAGGCAGGCTGCAGCACCGTGCTTCATGTGTTCAGTGATAACACTTCTTGTTTTTCTACCAGGTTCTRTTTCAGCATAAAGTGAGATCCACGAGACTCCTCTAAGATGTCTTACAGAAAGGAGCTAGAAAAATACCGAGACCTAGATGAAGATCAGATCCTTGGAGCTCTGACAGAAGAGGAGCTCAGGAAGTTAGAGAATGAATTGGAAGAGCTGGATCCTGATGTAAGTAATTTTCAATTGCAATGTTACGTAGTGAATCTTAGTAATTGTGGGGGATTGGGCTGTGTCAGTAAATTGTATTTCAGTGGGATTCTYTGCAGAGCCTGTACTTGGTGCAAGAATGGAAGAGACTGGCCGCAGATGAGCAGAAGAATTTTTTACCCTTGGAAGCACAGTCTATATGTGTGTCTGTTTCTGTTTTCCTGCCCTTTCCCAGATGGGATGAGCTGTCATTTGCAGCACCAACATGAGCCAGTGCTGGTCCAGGGCAGTAATCCTGGAGGAAAATTGATCTCTGTTTCTGACCAGGCCACCTTGGAGGGAATGTTTTGTGTGTTGCTTTGTTTGAGGGTTTTCTGGGGGTTTTTTTTTGTGTTTTGGGGGGTTTTTTTGTTTTTTTTTTTTGTTTTGTTTTTTTTTTTTTTTTTTTTTGTTACAAACTTCAAAAGGTCTGTATTTTCCTCCATTTAGGCAGAAATCCAAATCCCAGAGTTTTGCAAAGTGGGACAGTTTATTTTTAGCAACCTCCTAACATCAGCAGGAGCTGCACATACGCAAACATGGGGTCTGCTGGTGCCAAGCTGGTGAAAGGTTTTTGGAGCCAGCACTGTCCTGTAGCAGGGGATGTGCAGAGCCAACTGGCAGGCCTCTGCCTTACAGCAATGTTACTCGAGGAGTTTGGGCACTGCCAAGTGAGAAATTGTTCCTGCAACATGCAGTTAGTGTTTCTGGAGTAAATGATGMGTGGTGTAGATTGCATCATCAGTATTTTTAATTGCAATGCAGGAAAATATCTGAGAGCTGGCAAGCCATCTCTCCCAGGATTAAGCATGTTTGCTGGTGGGCTGATTACAGCCACCTCCGAAGACACAGAGTTAGACAGCACCCTGTGAAAAATGCAGAAATTTAAAATAATTATGGACATCTGTCAGTGCAGGTGTCCTGTGCTTGAAAATTGCTTGGCTGCCTCTCACAGCATGAAGTTGAGGAAGCCAGCTGTCTCCTATGCCTCCCTGCCTGTGCAATTCACACACTTCTCCTCTGTTGCCCTCCAAGGTTGCCTGGGTCTAACTGCTTCCTATCAGTAATTTTCCTTCCCAGGCTTTTCACTGATTCAGATATAAATTATAATGAACTACTTTTATCAGKCAGGCATGGAAAAATCAGTGCGTTGCTCAACATCACCTTGGATGTCTTAAAAAGTAAATGTTGACTTCTATCCAGTAAAGCTTTAAAGAACATGCTTAGTGTCAAATCTGGGAATAGTCTTACTTACTGCATTAAGGCTGTTCTATATTTAAATATAAGCAGGTGTTTACGTGCCGTATGTGTCAGGCACGAACCATGGTGGCTTATGTGACTGAATAGCAAGGATGCAGGCTGAAAAAGGCTGAGGTTAACAGGGTTTTTGCTCTGCAACCAAGTAACCTTCTCTGCGAGACCCTCTCTGTAGTTTTGTGATGAATCATGACAGGCAGAGGAGACCACCGTAACTCCCTGGTTTGCTCTGACAAAAATMATGAGATTTAACTGAGCTGCTTCTTCCTGGGACATATGGGGCATGGTGGGCACTTGGAGAGACTCATATAGTGGGGAGAAGATGGCTGAGGGCCTCCAGAAGGAAAGGGCTGGGRCTGATGTTGCAGCGTTCAAACTACAGGGGGGAGGAGCATGGTATGTCTGGGATGATGTGGGAATCAGGGGGGCTGGGTGAAGATAAGCTTTGACATGAGGAGAAGCAAACTGTCCAGGAATGTGGAAGAAGGATGGTGTGATGAGGGCAGCGTAGAGGGGAAGGTGTTTGATGGATGGGGATTATGGCCTGCAGAGATAACCTGTGTTTCTCCCCTCCATGTCTAGAATGCACTGCTGCCAGCGGGGCTCAGGCAGCGGGATCARACACAAAAGCCCCCAACTGGCCCATTCAAAAGGGAGGAACTCATGGCCCACCTAGAAAAGCAGGCAAAGGATGTTAAAGACAGAGAAGACTTGGTTCCTTACACAGGCGAAAAGAGAGGTATGGTCATTCTTTGTGCCATGCTGGGTGCGTCATGACGAAGGCACAGTGGGTGCACAGCAGAAGGGCTGTGTCTGACCTGTGTTGATAAAACCTCTTTCTGACACCACTGGGGCAGTGAATGTGCTCTCTCTGCTGTCTAGCCCCAGCTCAGGCTGGCTGACAAACTGGGGTGTGCTCAAGGGGTGCCCGTCTTGCTGATTTGGGCATCACCTGATGTGTTGTTAAGTGCTGGACAGAAGTTGTACCCCAGTGCAGCCTCTTCCCATCCCTGTGCCACTGTACCTGTAATCAGGCTCTGGGAAAGAAATGATCTTGTGTCCTCTCTTGTCCCTCCTCTGCTCTGTTCTCCTGTGAGCTCCTCACGCTATTCTCCGTGTCTCACCATGGCCTTTTACACTCCATCCCAACATTGTGAGCGTCTCACCAGTGAGAAACTCCTCAGCTCTCCACAGCTGTGATGAGTCACAGCAGTCCCCATCTAATTTTCATCATTTCTTGACAATCCCAGCCTTATCTCGCAGTCTCCTGCAGGTTGCATGTTTGTGTCTCCCTGCACTGTACCCTGCTGCACTTCTGCTCTGCATGGCCTTGAGACCTGTGAGCAAGGCTTTTCCTCTGCCTCTTTTCTTTCCTCTCCTTCTGGCGTCTTTTCCTGTTCTCCTTGTATGTGACACATTATCCAAGTGACTTTCTGTGCCCATTAGAACTCTGAATATCATCTGACATGGGACATGGTGTGGTCAGTCCCTGTCTCTGCATTCCAGGAGCTTCTCAGCMGTTTTTTTTCAGCTGCTGTGTCTCCCTCCATACCATCATGCCCCTGCAGTCAAAAATCTGGTTGTGCACTGTTCATGCTAATGGTTGCCCTGTATCAAAAAAAGAAGTGYATGAAAGTGTGGGCATGTGAACGTGTTTCCTAACAGAGATCTTTCTGAGACGTGCCTCCTTACTGACCYACATGGCTTTCTTAAAAAGAGCTTGTGCTAAATCTGCTCATTTAATAAAACCTGAGGCGGTATTTTTAGATTTTAAAGTGTATTCTTTGAGAGAAGTAAATGAATAGAGTACTGTGAGGAGGACTGGTTTGGTAAATTTCAGATGTCCCCGCTCCAGTGCTGCTCCCCTGCCTGGCTAGCCCAGAAGGTGAAGCAGCGTTCTCCATGGGACAGAGGCATTTCAGGCAGTTTGAGTCATGCTTGAGTCTGTTGTGATCTCACATTTGTTAAACATATTTTTATTTGTAACACGCTGTTGAGAGAAGTCATTACTTATATTGACTGCGAGCCAGAGACAATAAATTAARTACTCACAGCTGTGATGAAGCTGTAAATAAATCACCACGTTTGCACTTTGGAAGGTGATTTACTTGTTTGCCACGGGAGGTGCTCTCCCTGGCTGTGCTGYTGGGCAGGGTGGGAGTTGGGGCGTGCAGACATACTGCGTTATGATGTAAAATGTCACACACTGTCATTGTCACACATTGTCCAGTTTAAAGTTCCACCTTGTAACAAAGCATGGCTGAGATACAAAGCTATCTAAACATTAGAAATTAACTCAGATAATTAAACTTAAATTAGAATTAAACCCCAGAAGTTTTGATTACACCGAGGGGTCGGGAGTTACTGTGTGACAACAGAAATAAGGTGCTGCACACAGCAGATAGCACACACACTTTGCCCAGACATGCAGCTGGTGGGACAAGGTTCCAGATCTCCACACCAAGCCAGGGCAGACATTTTGCTACCCAGAAGATGCCTGGCTGTGCAATTACATGGCACTGCCTATTTTCGTGAGAGCAATTGTGTCTCAGGAGGCAGATTCCTGCACTCTGTGTCAGGGTGGCAGCTCACAGGTAGGAGATGGTTGCAAAAGGCTGTGGCAGCCTCCATTTTGTCCCAGGGGAGTCTGAGGTGCAGTTGCTTCTTCCTTGAGGCTAAATTTAGCCCCTTCTTTCTGCATATCCCTGAGCAGCAGGATTGGTTCTCCCTTTGGTGCCGCTGACTCTGGTTTCAGATCAGTGACAAAAATAGTCCCGGCTGGCATGCCAGGCCAAGCCTTTTGCACTCGCTATCTCCTCAGTGATCCTGGGCTATTTTAGGGGAGGGGACTGCTCCAAAATGTTCCCAGAGGCTCCTACTCCCATCCCAGCAAGGCTGGGTTCACCCAGCAGACTGCTCCCTGCTATGGTGTGTTAAAACATCACAAGCCTCTTCCTTTCCTTTGGGCAGTCACAGGTGGATGCCCTGTTGTGAAATCTCAGACCTGAGGTGTGCTGACTCTGAGAAGAACCTGCTGCCCACTGGCAGTGGGAGCAGTGAGGAGCTGGGAGAGCTGTCCAGGGCCATCAAGCATCCACTGCCCCTTGCCTCCCCAGGATGCAGCCAGCTCCAGCAGAGGAAGGGTCATGGCTTGCCCAGTGAATACCACAGGTGATGGGATGGCGAACTGGCAGGGAACCCAATCCATTCAAAGCTCCAGCCTTTTGTCCATGTGGGTATTCCCCTTAGGAAAAGGCCATGAGCAAGCAGCTAAGATGACGAGCTTGCATTACCAGCTGGGCCTGTGGATTTGCACCTTTGAATTGTAGGGAGTAGATCTGTTCTTTGGCCTTTTGCTGTCCAGAGAGACAAAGCACGAGAGTCTCCAYCTGGCACGTCCTTTGCAGCAAGATTGAGCTAGACCAGCTGCCCTAAGCCTGCTTTTCCTTGCATCCCATGCATTCCCTGAACTGCTGCCTCTGCCTGCTGCCAGACCCCTCCACCATCCCTCCGCCTCTCTCGAGTGCCTTCACCCCTTTTGTGCAGCTTTCAAAGCTTGAAGAACCTGCAGGGTCAGCTGTGGATGGCTTTCTGAGCGCTGTGCTGTGAACAGCTGTGACCCTGTACCAATGCTGGGTTTCCGCAGCACTCAGACCAAGCTGATGGAAAGGGATTCAGAGTCTCCTCTGATTTTTCTCTTGTGCTTTCTACTCTGTGCTTTCTCCTTTTCTAATCTCCAACCATGGAAATGTGTCTGCACGGGTTGCTGTGAACACGGAGCTGTAGCTATAACCCAGAGTGACCTCACTTTGCATTTCTAGGAAAAGCCTGGATTCCCAAGCAGAAGCCGATGGATCCTGTTTTGGAAAGTGTGACTCTGGAGCCGGAATTGGAGGAAGCCCTTGCTAATGCCTCTGATGCAGAGCTCTGTGACATTGCTGGTAAAATAATTTCATAATAATTGGGGGTGCAAATTGTTTGACTACTAGGGCCCTTATTTTTATTCTTTCAGGGAAAATGAGCTGTCGCACTTTTTGCTGTTTATCTAAATGCTGTCAACTCTGGCAGAATTTATTTGTTAAAAGAAGCTACTCTCAGCCTGTGTGATTTAACCAGGAGTGTGGATCAAAGCTGGAGGGAGAAGAAGGATTTACCAAGAGGACAGTGTGTGGTTTGACCTCTTCTGTCTCTGCCTAATTTCAGCCTGTGCATTCAAGAGCACAGCATTCTTCAAACCAAATCTCTGGAAACAGTCAACAAGCAGCCCAGTGAGAATGTGGATTCCTTGTGCAACCTATTAAAGGATATGTCAGGTGGTAGAAGCCTTTCAGTGATCACTCAGGCCTGCTGGTTTTTAAGGAGCTTTTTCGAGACATTTTAGGTGGTGGATTTCTTGTGATTTGTGTGGTCAGTCAGTCAGAAGACTGTATCGGTATCTTGCTGAAGCCCATAGTGTGGACTCTGTGCTTGGGRTAGGACATTCCTTGGCCAAAGGAGCACATGGACGTTCCATGGTGCTTTACCAAGCTCACACGTGCTCTTCTGGTCCAGTAGTCAAAGAATATTTCAGTGATACTGGCTTCTTCTTCCAGTTTTGTTTCCTCCAGACTTCCGTGCTCCCTAGCAGTGTCTTCCTTGCTAGAAGTCTGTAAGAAAATCTGTAGAATAACTACACCCACTAGACATCTTCTAAATCATAATTCCATATTTTGGTTAGAAATGYGTTTCTGCATTAAGGCTCCCAAACAAACGTACCTGGCCAAGCATTGTATCTCTGGATTTTGCCTTTCGACCATTAATCTAGAGTCCTRTAAAGCCCTATCCGATAAAATCTGTCTTTCTAAGCTGCAGTTCTGTGCAACAAGTATTGTCACAGTGAAATGCTGTTCAGGGCAGCTTGTTCTATGATTGCTGGGAGAATAGACTCCAGTAGCAGCAGGACTCCTGATGCGATACAAGCTGTGCTAAAATCTCAATATTGATAGTGACAATGTTGCTCCTGCCGCTTAGCAGGGCTCATTTAGCAGGAGCTCGTTTCGCTCCTGCCTGTTCAGCAGGGATCATTGTGAGCTACAGTGTGTTGGATCCGTTCATTGGCAAGGCCAGGAGTGTGGCTCCCAGGTAGCCCTGGAAGGGCTACTATGTCTTTGGTCAGGTGGGGGAGACAGAAATGGGATTCTTTCGTCTGAGTTCCTTTGGAAAATACAGGAAGCCCCAGACTTAGAAACWATGAGCCCCTCTTGTCTACCAACACAAACCTGAGTCCCCAAAACCCGTGGTCATGACAGAAAATCCTTGCCTCTCTCTGCAGTCCAGACACTCACACTCCTGCCTGCTGGAGAGATTTCATTGTCCAAATAAGCTGTAGTTAGGGGAGTATCAGTGTTCCCAAAACGCTGAACCTACAAATTTACTTTTCCAAGTTGTGTTGCACCCCTGAAAATTCCATCTGCGAGAAAATGACAGAGAAAAGGGCCAGATAAAATACAAGCAAACTCAAAGCGTCCAAGCTCACTCAGATGGAGACTGCTTGGCTCTGTGAGACCCAGCTGGGGAGGTGCTGGGGGCCAGGGGAAGTTCACTGGTGCACTTTGCTGCTGGCTGTCCAGCCTGTGYGACCCAGACAGAGTCACAAAGAGCTGTCACCGTAAGAGATCCTGTTCATGTGCTGGGCTTCAAGGATACCTTTCACCTGTAAATTCCAGCCCTTCTTGTCCAAAGCAACAGAATATGGTGGCAGACTGGTGCCAACCAAGCCTAAGAAGTGCCTTTGTGATGGCATGCTTGGATTTTAGGGYGAAATACATTCTTTTCTCAACTGTGTCTATCCAGATTTGTCAAGATTTGTTTAAATGGGCTGTTTTAACAACTATTCATGTGTCTGCATTTTTCTTTAGCAAGAAAGCTAAAGAAATATAGCTATTAAAAAAAAAGCTGTTGATAACCAGTTTATTATCAAACTTTGTCTTTCAGTGAGTAGCAGGGTTACTTTCAGAAACAGACTCTTTGTCCAAAAGTTTCTAAACCATGTACTTCTTAATGGTCATTTGCAGCCACCAGGAACACCACCAGAGCCACCAGACATGGTTCAATTTCCATCTGCTAATTGGCTTTGCAGTCCTGAGGCCAAGAGACCCAAATGGGCTGAGTCTGGCATTTGGGTTCTTCCAGCATTGGAATTGTGTTCATGCCACCACTCTCTACATTTTGACCAAGTCAGCAGAGCTTTAACTTCTCACAATGTCACCTTCCAAATGCTCCAAGTTCACCACCCCAGCTTGTTGTTGAGTCAAAGCACATGCATTGCCATGATTCAAGTGACAGTCACCTCCTGTGTTGCTGCCTTAGGATGGGTTTGGCTCCATTCAGGGCACAGCTCATCTCCAAACTGGGCTGTGGAAGTGTGTGGCACTTATCTGGTGAGCAAGGGTGACGAGGATGTGCAGGCTCCTGCTGGACTGGCCTTATACTAAAGCCTACCAATGGCATTTTTCTGAGTGGTTTAYTGTCTTCTCCTCATTATTTTTGTATAATGCTGAGTCAGGTAGGCTACTGGGAAGCCTTGAATGTTTGTCAGTTTGTTGTCCACAAGATGATGTTCCTCTTTTCCCATGGGTMATGGTACATTGGAATAAACAAGAGAGCACATTTGAGCATTGTTGTATATTTATGTCAGCTGGCAGGCTTTGTCCTGCCTTTGCCTGTTGTTCTGTGCTTCACAGTAAAAGGTAACATGCTGTGAACTCCCATGCCAGGCAGCATCTGTGTCTTTTGCTGGCTCTGGAGCCTGCAGTAAGTCATGTTCTCCTTTCCATTTTCTGTAGCCATCCTTGGCATGCACACCTTGATGAGTAACCAGCAGTACTACGAGGCACTGGGGAGCAGCACCATCGTCAACAAAGAAGGGCTCAACAGTAAGTGATTCAGAGTGGTRGCAGGCTATTTGACTTTGAAGGTGCCAGCAGAGGCAAAGTGGTAATTATTCTTAGACTGAAAGTTGGAGCCCTKCATGTGAGAGCAGCCCATGATTGCTGGGGCCGTCTCTGGAGCATCCTTGCCCTGTGCCAGTCAGTGCAGTCTCAGCACTTCCCTGGTGCCACCTGGGAGCCCAGGGGACAGTCCCATGCAGGCAGTGTCCCTTCTGTCACCCAGATTTGGACCTTGACAGCACACAGCAGCAGGCACTGGCTGTCCTGCGCTGGTTGGACCCAGCAGAGGGACCTCTCATCTCAAGTCTCTGTCAGGTCACGCTCCCACATCCCCTGCTTCCACCTCTCCACTTCTGGAAGAGAAGGAACACCCTCAAAGAAAAGATGCTCAGTGTGCTTTCATTTCCACATCTTGSTTTTCACTTGCAGGTGTGATTAAGCCCACACAGTACAAACCAGTTCCCGATGAGGAACCAAACTCAACAGACGTGGAGGAAACTCTGAAACGAATACAAAGCAACGATCCTGACCTTGAGGAAGTCAACCTTAACAATATCATGGTATTTGGTGTTCCTTTCTACCCTCCTCTCTTAGTAACAAGACTAAGTATCTGATACACAGACACTGAATCTGTTTTGCTGCTCAGAGCAGTATCATAACATTAAATATAGCCAGACGAGACACACCAGCACTTCCCATCTCCACTGTGGGCAGCKGTGAGACAAAGACATGGGTTTGGTAGCAGGAGGACTCCCCTAAGTGTCTGGAAGAATGGAGCTGTGTTGAGGATAGTTTGGGGAGATCCAAAACTGGCTGTCTGGTTAAAGCCTTTTTAGGTTGCTTTAAAGATTTAGTCAGGCATATTTGATGGAGGGAATGTTGATGTATATTACAAGATGGTGGGAGGAAAAAGGCTTCATGATCCAGACATTTGCCATGAAAATATGAAGAAGCCTCCCTTCTTGCAGTTGGCCAGTCCATCTCCCACCCATCCCTTCTGTGGAGCTCTTTTACTTCTTGTAGAAAGCAAACCAGGACATAGCACCACTTYTTATGTTGCTTTTGGGACACATACACACACTAAAAAATAGAGTTTCTATTTSACGTGTCTGTTGAATGATGACATAGCTAAACAGCAAGAACATGGATGCATGTTAACTGCATGTGCACATCAAAAACATTTTTGCCATGCTACCTGCACCTTTCCAAAACAAAAGTATTTTCACTTTCATGTGTTTGATTTAGGCGAGTGACCTTATCCCTCGAGGACACAAGGCTGAGGATCTGGCAGGCAGGCACTATTTTTGTGTGTTGAACTCATGACTTTGGGATGGGGTTTGGAGAAGTGGGGAGTGACAGTGGAGATTCTAAGATGCTGAGTGCTGTGTTATGGCTCTGCGGATGACCTTGAGTGTAGATGATTCCACATGGTGGGATGCAAATTGTGTGGCAAGAAATCCAAGGTGAGGATGCCACTTAAAATTTTGGGTGCATATTTTCTCATCTGAAAAGGGAATCTAAAGTGCTTGGTAAGTGAAAATCACTCATCTTGAAGGAATAAGCAGCATGGATTTCTTTTCTGGGCTAAGACAGCAATGGCAAATGTCAGCCTGAAAGGTGTTGTATAAAGCAGTCAGAGGTGTCTGTGATTTGTGTTACAGGGAGAYAATTTCAGGCCTTTCTGGATCAGTTCCCGTAGGTGGAAATTTTCTGAACGTGACAGGAATGTTTCTCAGTGCTGTCGCTCGTATCAGAGAGTGCAGGAGAAGTGCTTTGTAGGCTCTCCCATCCTGCTTACAAATATCCCCACACCTGCATTCCTAGGTAGCTGAATTTCTGAGCAATTAAACAGCAGAGATGTGGCTTCAMATCAAGAAAGTGAGCTTTCAGCAGAATACGAAAAAAGATTAAAAAATATTGCCATGCTCCTTATACCATGCAGATTATAGAAAGAGAGCTTGTGAAAACATTTATCAAYCCCTTCCTGAATCACTTCAGTGCATTTGGTAATTTGACCTGGATGAGAAGTTAAAAATGTCTTTTAAATGTGTTGCATATTCATTGCACACAGATGATGGCCTAACCCATGCTTTCTGCATTTTTCACAGAATATTCCYATACCAACTTTAAAAGCTTTTGCAGAAGCACTGAAAAACAATGAGTACGTGAAGAAGTTCAGCATAGTTGGGACACGGAGCAATGATCCTGTTGCTTTTGTAAGTACTGTGGGCTCATGGTCTCAGGGTTCTGGCAGGAGCTGCTGTCRGGCAAGGCATTTTCAGCATTGCTGACTGACTGCTTCTGCACCTTGTGTCGTGTTTGGCACATCCTGCACCTCTGGCTGTTCAGTGCAAGTTCTTCAATTTCAGGAGCACTAGCAGAAGCCAGGAACAGACAGGTTTTGGATCTTCCATTTCGTGTTTCATCTGTGGAGATTTCAGGRCAGTCCTTTTATCCCATATGGTGTCAAATTTGTCCTCTAGGAGCTCTTGGGGAAGGAGCGTGAGGCGAGAACTGATGTCCTAAYGGCGTTTACTGAAAGCAGTTTGTCTCTCTCTCTGGAGATTTGTTTCCTCTGGTACAAAGGTGTACCAACCTGCTGCTCCCATCGCACGTGTCTGCTCCAGCTCTCTCTCATATATTCCTTGGGCAGACACATGCAGAAGCAGGACTCTGCATATCCTAACACGTGGCCTCTATACTGATAACGGGTCTTTCTGGCCGCTGTGAGTGATGTGAAATATCAGTGGGGATGCAGAGACGAGCCAACCATTCTGCCTGGCCTTGTGCTACCTTCCAGGCTGCATCTTTGCACCCTTCCCCAGCACCATTGCAGTCAGTTTTTGCTCTTAGTCACCCACATCCTGCTTTCCTGCTAGGAAAAGTAACTTTCTGGAGGGCAAGTACTGCCCTTACATTATTTCAGGCACTCTAAACTGGGCAGGAAGCCTGTGCAGGCAGGACAGGTGCTTTGTGAGAGCTTGAGGGGCGCTGTGCTGGGCTGGGGGAGCTGTGGGGCTAAGTGCTGTGGTGGCAGGTCAGCCCTGCCACATGGGTATCACCTTCTGGTGCCTCTGTTTCATGATGTGGATGGATCCTCCCTTGCAGTTTATATGAAGTGAGATTATTTGATCAGGTTTTGGGGGTTATGAGTGTTCCACCCACTTCTGGTCTCACCCACTAAGGGAAAGAACAATGATTAATATGGTTGTGATGCTGCTTGGGAGGACACCTTGGATGTGGAGCATCCCTTGTTGTTTAAGACAGACACTCCTCTCTCCCCTTACTGTAATGGGAAGCATTTCAACCCCTGCAGGGCRGGCAGGGAGTCACCAGAATGGAGGCAGGGCCAATGCTGGTTTTAGAAGGGGGACAGATGAAGCTGTCACAGGGCAGCTGCAATGTGGACTGTCACCTTTGGGGTAGCCCCAAGCGTTTGTCTGTGCGAGGTTTTGCTGTGGACTCCAGCATGCTTGTGTTCAAGAATCCCCCTGCAACAGCAGGGAACCAGCTCCCTCGACCCCACAAAGAGCATTTCCATCTGGTGGCAGYGAAACTGCTCGCTCCAGATCCTCCCAGAGTCCTCTGGAGGTGAGGGGAGTTGAAGCCCCAGTGCCGTGCAGTGCTTTGTCCCTGCCTGTCTGACTGCCAGCTCTTCCTGCCCACCTCTGTCCACAGGCCCTGGCAGAAATGCTGAAGGTCAACAACACACTGAAGAGCCTGAACGTGGAGTCAAACTTTATTTCTGGCTCAGGGATCCTGGCTATTGTTGAAGCACTGGAGGGCAACACATCCCTTGTGGAGCTGCGCATTGACAACCAGGTAGAGCATGTGGGTGACAGCGCTGGGCAGGTGAATGTGGCCTGGGGGTGGGAACCGAGTGTGCCACGGTGCAGAGGCTGGGGCAAGCGTAGCWCCCCAAAAAACCCAGAGCTTAAGCAGCTGAGCTATGGGGAACTCGGGGACAGCTGACTGGAGACCAAAGTGCTAGTTTCTCCTGATGTCCATCAGCTGCTAATMTGTCCAAGAAATAAAGGCCTTGGGCAAAAGGTCTTGTGGGAATATCCGCTGGTGGAGTTGGATACTGAGTTGTAGCGATTGTACAGGAACAGGCCAGCAGTTTTGTTTCCCAGCTCCAAGTCAGAAATGTCAAATGAAGCACAGGTCCAGAGAAAAAGGGGTGGAGATTGCTCTGAATCTCCCTTTAGCCTGAACAGCTTCCTTTTCTGTTTTCTGTTTTCAAAAGAGTCAGCCCTTGGGCAACAAAGTAGAAATGGAAATTGCGAATATATTGGAGAAGAACACCTCCCTACTGAAGTTTGGGTACCATTTCACTCAGCAAGGTCCACGGCTTCGCGCCTCCAATGCCATGATGAGTAACAACGACTTGGGTGAGTCAGGCTGGCAGCAAGCCAAGAAGCATGGGAAGGTCCGGTGGGCACTTYCTTGTGGGATTAGGGCAGAACTGCTCATGTTAAAGATATGTATGAGTTAGTAAGTGCCTCTTGAAGGGCCTGATGATGCTTTGCCCTTGAAGAAGAAAGCCAGCCTTCACCAATAGGTTCCTTAATGCAGCTGCTTTCGTCCAGGCAATGGGTTGTACTCCAGACTTGGAGACACTACACAGCTAAAGCTCCCAGAATAGGCAGTGTTTTTTGCAGTAACAGTGAGTATTGTTGGGAAAGACCAAGAGCTGCTGATGTGSTTCAGTACAGCCTGTGATACAGCATGTGGCACATGGATTATGTTCTGCTAGCATTTGTAATTCCTGCCAATTRCTTGTCTTCTTCCAGCTTCATTCCCACTTCAACAAGAGATGAAAAGTAGTGGAGTTGAACTTTGACAGCAGTAGGATTTGGCCCACYCTCTTCAGCAAAACCAACTGGAACTATTTCTAGGGATATGTGGGAAACCAYGTGGCTTTGCGTTACCTTTGTACCCTCAATGATGTGATCAGAAGKGTTTGCAAAGCAAAATGTGGGCAAGTTTGCAAAATGCCATTTCAGCCAAAGCACATGGCAGAGGCCTTCCATTGCTTGCTACAAACAGCTGTAGAGCACTGGAAGCCAGGCCAGCAGAGCAGYGCTGAATTAGGTAACGCACCCACCATGCTGTACTCAGCAGCTGTCATATCTAGGCAGATGATAAATTTGTTGTGTTCTATAAACAAAAAATAAAAATCTATCTTRCTTCAGCCGGTATTGTGCTCCTAGGAAGCACAGCCAAGCATAGGGGTATGTGCCAGTTCTTCAGGGATCACCCAAAATACTCAGTATTCATTGAGTTCACTGGGTATCTATTCTGTCTCTGGTTGCATTCCTGATCACTCGAGTGCTGCACTGGGAAAGGCTTGCTATTTTCTGCTCTTTAGAATGGAGCATGATTTTTAATGGTGCTGCAGCACCTGACATTCAAAGTGATCAGCTCAAAGATTTAAAATCTGGTATTTGATTATTCCTGCTGTTCAGGGGATGAATTTACAACTTGCCTTCCATGCAAGAGCTGTGTATCTTGCCTCTTTGACCAGTAAGATCTGCATTTGTTGTCTGACTTGGTTCTTGTTTGCAGTTCGCATTCATCGGTCTGATGGTCTCTGAAAATAGCATCTCAGCTCCACACCTGGACAATGTCTAAGTAAAGAAAAACTTTATTTTTCTCCCTGTCAGCAATAGCTCTCTGCTTGTGCTCTACTCCAGCATTCTTTCCTATCAACTGATGCTACCAGAACATGGTTTTGGTCCCACAGCTTCTGTTCCCTAAGATGCTCTGTGTGATCCGACTTGAAGGCTTTTATGTTCATCCTCATGAGCTAACTTCTGCATCCTCTTTGTGCATTTTTGTTCAGGGCTTTTTCCAATACTTTTCTTGAATAGTCAAGAGTGTAGCTGTCAAGAGGTGTAAATCAGCTTTTAAGACTAGATATGAGACTATTTTGACAATGTTAACTGTGATCAGAGGACTGGAGCCAAATGACTTAAGAATATATTTTTGGGTTTTGTTGTTTTTTTTTTTTTTTAATTTGAAAAGGAAAATTTTAAATTGGAAAAACTAGCAAAGGAAAAACTGCGGCATCTGTTTCCTGCTGTCTCTACATCAGTCAGATGATGCACTGGCCAAAGTCCAGTTACAAACACAAACTGTGAAATATAATTAACTACAGAATAAGGGAAGTAAGGCTGAAAGTAGCTTCTGGCCTTAAACATTCATAGAGAGAGAAATCTCATCTTCCTTGATTTTACTGGGTAAGGCTGTGCCTGCTGCTTAAAGCAGGAATTGAGAAGCTGATGCTATCCTGTTTCTTTCCTGGCAGAAAGTACATCTCAGCTCCTTTCTACAGCTGCTAAGGCAAGCCAGCCATCCACGTTCTCCTATTGCCACTACTGACTCCTCTTTCTYTTCTTTTTCAGTGAGGAAGAGAAGACTTGCAGAGGTGAATGGGCCTATTTTTCCCAAGTGCAGAACTGGAGTGTAGTTCCTGGCTATGGAGGTCATTCCCGGTGATCTGTGCTACACTGTGGAAATCTAAAGGCAAAGTGCCTTGACAGAGTATTTGTGGTGCCTCTGTTCTGTTTTATGCACTAACAGTTTAAACTAAATAGTGGTTGTAGTTTTTATGAAGATTTTATCCAGTAGGACTGTTGACGTTTTCTGTAGTTGGAAACTATTCAAGCCAACTTATCAATTTAATGCTATCTCAGTTTAAAGTACAGCCTACTGTTAAAGGGGATTACTTTTTTCTATAAACTTTCTGCACGGTGTTTCATAAAGTTAGGGTGTGGTATGCATGAGTGAAAGATACAATTGTTTCACACAAATTATAGAAGTATTAAAAAAATACTTTATTTTTTTTTCAAAGTTGATCTCAAGTAATTACAGAGGAGTAACTATTTTAACAAGCACTTCTAACATCTGGAACCATGGCCAATTTCAAGCATTGTGAATTACAATTTTTTGCCAACATTTGCCAAATCATTTCATTGGAGACGTTGTTTCAGATATATCCCAGTGTTTCTTAGAAAAAACTGATTTCCACCTCCTGATTGAATGGAACTTAAGGCCACCAAATATAAAAAAGAGTCTCTAAAATCAAGTGGTTTAGATTAGTATCATTCAATCCCATGCACCTGTGAGGAAAACACTCATTCTTTAGAGGTGTGATGCAAATCCTAATCCCCAGAGTTGTCTAAACTAATTGGCAAATGAGAACCTTCTCTTCTACTCCCCACTCCTTTCAGATTCCTAATGTTAAAGTGTTTGTCCAGATATTCACTGSGGACAGGTCAAATTCTGTCCCTTTGCTGTTTTCTCTAGAAGATCATGTTCATTAATTAGATTTTGTTCTGATAGGAATTCTTTCTTTTACTGCTGTCCCTTATGTCCACATAAATGCAAGAATAAATGTTGTACCCTAGAAACGTTGTAAAGTGAAACACCCCAATCTGAACTTGCAGTACATATGATCTGTTTTTTGTCAGTCTCTACTCATCATCTAGCCTGGGAGGAATTCCCCACAGGCTTGTGTATCTCCCAGACCTGCAGTGGGCTGGACCCAGCATACCCAAGACTCCCACCCTTAATGTGGGTGGTATCCTGATCAATAGGATGTCTCCCGGATGAAGCATTGGTGTACTGAAACCTTTATCTTGGGTGGATGACACATCCAGAAAATGTTCCCTCTTGCTAGAAATCTGCCTTTAAATGTCTGTTAGAGTGAAGTTTTTCAGCCTTTTACACATTCTGGCAGAAGTCCCACAGATTTCTTCAGAGCTTGTGTCACTGATGATTTAGCTCTGACCAGTGAAGCAGAGAGAAATGCTATTCAGCAATGTGGGAAACATACTTGTTGCTCTTCAAATGTTAATAAATGTACCAGTGGTGTCTCATAAAATGCTTCACTATAGCTTGTTTCCTTCCTGTGCAAGTTCTGTATGAAAATGAATACAGAAGAGAAATACTTGAAAACATTAAAATGAAAAAACCCTGGCAGACTTTAAAAGATACTTTCTTCCATGTGCACTGTGAAGACTTTGAAATGACCAACTAAATCATCAAATCAGAGCCACACAGTTTCAGCTGAGCCAACCACTTGAATTTGCACGACACAGGCTCAGCTCTTCCCTTGGTTTCAGAAGACTGTAAATGCATCTCATCCTGGAAAACCCTGGTGGTGCTAATATGCAAGGAAATGCATCTGCAGACCAGGGAGCACTATCACAGATATTACCACAGCCCTTGAAAAAAAGGAAAWGAAAAAAAATCCAAGAACTTTGTCCTGTGTTTCATTGCAGCAGCACCTAAATTAACCATGCAGCCCCAAGGTRTATTAAGCTGTCAGGATCATACCAGGTTCCTCAGCTTCCTCCTGATTCTCACAGAGCTGTTTTGCTGCAGAATGCATCTGACAGCTGAGTGTGGTGCAGCAGAGACACGCTGAGGCATCAGGCCTTGTGGTGAAAGGTGTTAAGCTGTGCAGCAGTGGAGCTACAAAAGGTGATATTTAGGGGCAAATTTATCTCTGGCCCAGCAGCTTTCCAGGAAAAGGGAGGAAAAGCCATCTGGTGACTGCAGCATCTGGCAGTCACAGCCCATCCTGCTGAAAACTCTTCCCTCTCCTGGAGCTCATGGGCCTTCTCTCAGGCATTACCGAGATCCCTGGATGCCACCACACAGCTTTTCACAAGGCAAGTCCTTATTTGTGTTATTCTCACAAAACTAATTCAAAAAACAGGACAGAGAGCCCTTATGGGCTAACTTGCAAGAAACAGGCAGACTAAGGATATCTCTTATCCCCTCTCTGGCTCTCTGCAGCAGAGTGATCATGGCTTTAAGGGATTCATCTGTACATCTCAGATCCTTCTCTTCCCTTGCTTCAGTGCAGCAAGGACCAGAAGAGGCCGCATGGCTCCCCTCTGCCTTTGAGGTAGAATCTCCAGCTGTGAGGAGCTCTCAGAATTGTACCTTGTATCCAGGTCTACCATGTGGCAGACTAGCTAAGTTTCAGTGTTTACCTCTGCWGAATTAAGCACCTTCAACATAACATGTGAAGTGTATTTGTGCAGTACTTACAAAATTATAATGGAAGCACTAAAGGTTATTTATCATAGATGTTTCAATAGTTTATATATAAAAGATAGTCGTTGCCATCCTGTACTGATAAGGGACATAGAAACGGCATTACAGCGTTCCACACCTGCTGATACACTGAATTACAAAACTCTGTTCTTTTTAACCTAATACAGGAAAATTATGGGCATTCCCCATCGGTGCTCTAGACCAGACCTACAAGGAGAGCTTGCATGTTTCTTCACAAATACTCCAGTCCTCAAAATCACAGAGGTTAACCAGCCAGCAGGGACCAGGAAGCCAGGGAGACACCGCTCAAACTTTGGCTGAAAGTGTCTAATGATGGGAATGTTCCAATTTCTTCTCCAGAATGGGTTGTTCACAGATTTTCTATTAAATACTATCCTAGAAATATCCCCAATAGAAATATTCCTAAGTTTCAAGGTTTTGCCTCATTATTAGAATTGTCATGAGGACAGCTGGTGAGCCGTTGATTTCATGGTAGCAAAACTGGAAGCAAGAAGAAATGTTTGTCATGGCTTTAATGGAACCAGTGCCCATGTATTTAAGTTGCTGGTCAATGAGGCCTTGCTGAATTTATAGCACCATGGGAAAAAAAGTTACAATCTATATGAAAATAATATAGCCCTGTTATTAAGCAACTGCAGAAACCTAAGAAACTGTTTTCTTGCTTTCAAAAGCATTTGCCAGTAAAAAAACCCAAATCCAGTGGCTTTGATGTTCTAATGACTAACTACTGTTTAGTTCCCAGAATGACAGTAAATTTCAAAGACATTTTTCAGTCAAGACACATCTTCCACGCTATTAATAAATCCTTTCTGTACGTTCTACAGCATCAGGCACACAAAACAGCACGTGGGGAAGTATTTTAAGCTCATCTGCTGTAGGTCCCTTCAAAGACAATTTCTCCACTAATAGGTGCTGAAAATTGCATAAACAGCTTGCAGCTTTTAAAAAACTCAACTCATGTTCAAAAAGCTCCCCACAACTTGAGTTAAGGATCTTGCAGTCTTCTGATAGCTGTTGCTGACATTTATGCATACATGCATCACTTCCAGTGCCATAATGCTGGTATTTTGACATCCTCTGTGCTCCCCTCCTCATGTGCCTGTTTCAAAATGCTTCAAGCTGTCAGGCTTTTTTAGTGCAAGCAGAGATGAGCCCTGCATATTTCATATACTGACAAGTTGAGGGGAAAACACAGCTCCCAGGGAGACTGAGCACTGGGAAGAAGGTTGGGTTTGCTGCTCATCCTACAGGTCACACAAATATGGCTGGGCAAACAAYATTTCTGGGCCTTCGCTCCAGCTCCTTGTGCCACCTTCAGCCAGTTTTACAGGAGAGTTGTGTTTTCAGTCAGTAACTTTCCTTTGCTTCTCACTGGCATAAAGCAAGAGATGCAGGTAGATGGTGCACACGTGGAATATATTTTCAGGATCTATCTGGCCACACACCCACACCAAATTGATAAATCTGCTGTTTGCACACCGTACTACAAGCTATTGAAGCAGATGCATGACCCTTGGAGAGGTCAGACAGGTTGATCTCCATGCAAGAAATAAAAAAAAGGAATTATTCTTATGTCYCTTCAGTTTCTTTTGACTTGTGAGCAGCTCTGTCATGTTGCAGATACTCTGCTCCAAAATCCCCATGGTAAAGGCTGCACTACAAGACTGTACCCAGGAGAGGAATCCTGTAGTGCTGGTGATGGGCTGGGCACTCTGGTAAGTTACAGGCAAKTAATGGATGGTTTTCAGGGCATTCTCTAGGTTTAAAGGCAGCATATGAACAAGACTTTCCAAGCCAACACATTTTCGTAATCTCCAAACCTAACTGATTAACAGATATCTGGTTACAGAAGCCCTCCAGATGAGCGCATGCCAGATTAACCAGTGAAACAGCTTAATCTTTTCCAGTGTCCAGCAGCCTTGGTGAGACACGTTCAATTGGTACCCTTGGCCGTTTCCTTGTACATTCACATTCCTCCTTAAGTGTCTGTCCKGAAGCCCTTGAAGTCACCTTGAGCTCCTTCTCTTGACAAACAGGACAGCAAGCTGTAAGACCTTTGTTGCAACAACTTGGACATGTCAGGACAAGCTGCCGGCAGTGCTGACTGGAACAAAGTTTATACTGGTCCCACAGCACCCCACAGTATCTGCATGCTGGAGGGAGGAGGAAAAGAAAAAGTTAACACCCATACCGCTCTGGCTGTTCCTTGCAGAGGGCTTGCCAAGGCACCAGGGGGCTGTCACAGCTCTCATTTAAGTGGCTATTGTCTTGCAGGGTTTTAATTTCTGTTTAGCTTATCTTCTAGAATCTAGATTTTTAAAACATCTTTTTTTTTTTTACATACTTAAGGCATTTTTCTCTGGAAAAGAGGAAAGTGCTCACTAGTGCTTTTCTAGTTCTGAATAGACAGACAGAGATTCTTACTGCCAAGACATGCAGGTGACAACTAAGCTAGTAATGTGACCTGCTGGCAAAGGGAATGCCACGGAACTTCCTTTCTTCTCCAAGCAATGGCTTGTGCAGACAGGGTGCCATTTGCAGTCCTGGTAAGAGCCCTTCCAAAACACCACTGGTTTTAACACTTTAACTGAAAGCTACAGCCCACTTTAGCTGTACCATCAAGAAGGTGTAYACCACAGTACTTCCCCTTGAAACTCCTGTAGGGATGGCTGAGATATATATCCAGTGTGTTCTCTCTCCACACCAAGTCAGACCCTGTCAAGATGCATACAGTAATTGCAGAACAGGAAAGGGAGATTTTGCTTGAAACGTTACCAACTGAGAGAAAAAACAACACTGCTTCCTTAAAAGGCTAGAGCCAAACTCCAGATAATTTGTTGCACCCAGCAACTGATAGAAAAATAAGAGATTACGTAATTTGTGGTAACTAAAGAGCAATCCCAGCCAGAAGACCAGGCAATGCTCTTAACAACTCCAACTAGAGGGTACTGAAATTCTACCAGATACAGAAACTTCCTAAACCCTCTTCCCTCTCATTTCTGTTTTACGTGTTCAAGCCATGGAATTGATAGTCATCAGGAAAAGTGACTGCATTATGAGATCAAACCAAGTATGAGGAAGAACTACACACACCAGTTTGGCTGTCCCTATCCTGCACACCTCTGGAAATGATTGCAATAGCTTCCCAGCCTTCTGCACTTACATTATTTAGTCCTACCTGAGATGATATCTTCATTGGAACAAATGGCGTAACGATCATCAAATACAAATAGCTTCCCCCTGTAGAATCCATCTGGAAACTCTTCTAGGTACTTGTGAATTCCACCTTTTAGCTGGTAAACTTCTCTGCACACTGCCTGTTTAAAGCATATTAACAGAAAAGCTGAAGGAGACCACAGCAGTGGCCGTGTGCCAGAGTTCCCAAAGCAAATGTTGTGAATTCCAGGGGCCAGTGAAAAGCAGCAGCCTCTCAGTGACCATCAGATGGCACCATTTGCAACCACAGCTCTAGGCAGTGCCACCATGGAGTACTGGGCAGCTCCACAATGCTGGCTTGTTGACATGAACCCAACCCCTTCTTTAATGCTACACTCAAAAGAAGATGGCAACTCTCCTCACCTGAGGATGGTCTGCTGCATCACAGATCAAATGCTTTTGAACCTCCATAAACTGCTGCTTGTTATTCTGGTTTTATTTATTTTTATTTATTAACTGTTAGCAGAAGCAGAATTTCACAGGATTTACACTGATGCAGCAGAAAAAAGAATACCACAATTTAAATCTCTGAGAACCTTTGTGTTCTGTTCCCTTGATCCTTGAGAGAAGGATCCAGGACAAAAGTGGGATGGAAAACAATCAGAACAATGTAGTGTGCTGGATTTAGTTCCCCAACACTGGGAAAAGCACTGACTGGCTGATTTTCACCACTCTGAGATGCTCAAGCTTTGCAGTAATGACCACAGAGCGTTACTT